GATCTCATGTATATGTGGAATTTAATGAACAAAATAAACTGGTGAACAAAATAGGTCCAGAGGCATGGAAGCATGGAACAGACTGACAGATCACAGAGTGGTAAAGGGTGAAGGGTGGGGGCAACGGGAAGAGATTAACCAAAGAACATACATACATATATGCATAGTTTATGGACACAGACAATAGTGTGGAGTGAGGTTAGGGAGGACAAAGGGGTGGGGATATGGGGGACTTCTGTAATACTGTCAACAATAAATAAAAAAAGAAAGAAAAGGAAAGACATTTCATGTTCATGGAATTCAATATTGTTAAGATTTCAGTTCTCTCTCAATTGATTTATAAATTCAATGCAATATGATTCAAAATTCCAGCAGGATTATTTTGCATGTGGAAACTGACAAGCTGATTCTCAAATTTACAAAACAAACAACAACAATAAAAGAAATAGAAAAAATGCGAAGGACAGCTAAGATAATTTTGAAGAACAAAGAAGATTTATACTACAAAATAGAAACACTTATTATAAAGCCACAGTGATAAAAAATAGTGCATTATTGGCATAAGGATAGACAAAGAGACTAACGGAACATAATAATCAATTCAGAAACAGACCAACACACATACAGTCACATGATTTCCAACAAAGACATCACTGCCACTCTGTGGGAAAAGATAGGTCTTTTGAATAATGATGTAGAAACAGAAAAAAAGAGAGAATCTTAACCTTTTCCTTATACCAGTCAGTTTGAGGTGGATCACAAATATAAGCAAGACAGGTAAAATAATAAAGCTTCCAGAAAAATACATAAGACTATCTCCAGGACATTGAAGTAGTTAAAGATTTCTTAAATGGGAGACAAAAGCACTATCCACATAAGAAACATACTGTTAGATCAGACTTTATTAAAATTAAGACTACCCATTTAACTAAAGGCATCATTTACAAAGTGAATAACCAAGTCAGAGATTAAGAGAAATTACTTGTAATACATAAATATGACCAAGGACTCATATCCAGAATATATGAAGAATTCCTACCAAGCAATAAGAAAAAAGGCAACTTTTTTAAAATTGGCAAAAGCTGTTCTGGCCGGGTGGTTCAGTTGGTTAGAGCATCATCCTGTACACCAAAAGGTTGGAGGATTTAATCCCCAGTTGGGGTGCATAAAGGAGGCAACCAATAGATGTTTCTCTCTCACATCGATGTTTCTCTCTCCCTTCCTTCCTTTCTCTCTAAAATTAATAAAAACATATCGTCAGGTGAGGATTTAAAAAAAAAAAAGGCAAGACCTTAAATAGGCACTTCGCCAAGAAGATACCCAAACGGGCAATAAATATATGAAAATGTATTCAGTATCATTATTCATTAGGGAAATGTAAAAACATGAGATACTACTACATACCCAACAGAAAGGCAACCATTTAAATAACTAAAATTATCCAGTGTGCAGAGAAGAGTTAACACTGCAGGCCTTAGACTGCTATCCTCAGGAAGCCTGTTTGCAAAGCTGGCCTCTGGCTGGCATCTGGAAACCTTGATTTTGGTAGTGTCCCCACCATACTCAGAACTAATTAAAATGGCTCACTGTGCCTAAAGTATTTGTGCAAACAATATGGTTTATGCTACATACCTGCTTTCCTTCTGGGAGTCTGGAATTTTGGTACGTGCTAGGCAGAGATTGCCTACACATAGAGCTTGGGTGCCAGGCCTCAATAAAAGCCCTGAGCACGGAGCCTCTAACAAGTTTCCCTGGTAGACAACATTTTACATCAGTGATTCCCAAAGTGGGCGCTACCGCCCCCTGATGGACGCTGCAGCGATCCAGGGGGGTGGTGATGGCCACAGGTGCATTTGTTTTAACTTTTTTTGTATTACCTTTCTATTCTGAGTTCAATAAACAGTTTCATATTTTCAAACTTCAATGTTTCTAATTTACACCTTTCTTTACTATATTTTACAAAAAAGGTAGAAACATTAATACATATATCTGTTTAATTGCTATTAAAATTAAAAAAAAATTAATTTCCAGGGGGCGCTGAGTAATATTTTTTCTGGAAAGGGGGCGGTAGGCCAAATAAGTTTGGGAACCACTGTTTTAGATGTTGTCACAATTCGCTGTTGGAGGAATTAAGTGCATCCTGTGTTACTACACTGAGAGAGGACTCTTGGAAGCTTGTGCTTGATTTCCTCTGAACTTTGTCCCATGTGCCATTTCCTTTTGCAATTTTGCTTTATATCCGTTTGCTGCAATAAATCATAGCCATGAGCATGTCTATATGGTAAGTCCTGGAGTCGCGGCTAATCATCAACCTGGGAGTGGTGTTGGGGTCCCCTGACACACCAAATGTTGGGGATTATGTGGAATAAACTAAAAGTATTATACATTGTTGAAGAGAATGTAAGTTAGTTCAAACACTTTGGGAGACTGTTTAGTAATATCTACTAAAGCTAAAACATATTTCTACCATATAATTAAACAATTTTACTCTTAGAAATATCTCCTAAAGAAAGTAAGTGCCTATGTTCACCATATGAGAATATTCATCCTATATAATAAAAGGCTAATATGCAAATTATCCCCTCGACCTGGGAGTTAGACTGAGAGTTTGACCAGGGGGTGGGCCGGCCGGCCAGCCAACGGTCCGCAGCCCCTCCTCCTGGCCAGCCCTCTAGATCAGTCCAATCAGGGTGGGCCGGCCTGACCCCACCCATGCACGAATTCATGCACCGGGCCTCTAGTTTATTTATAATAGCTCAAATGGTAAATAACTCTAATTCTATCAATAAGTGAATGGATAAGCAAATTATGGAATATTCATAAAATACTACAAAGTAATAAACACACACACATACCAATACATGCCACAACATGGATGAATCTCATAGATGGTAGTTAAATTAAAAAAGCTCAACACAGAAGTACACAATGTATGATTCCATTTACATATGAAAAAGTGATATACGCAAAGTATGATTCTATTTACGAGGTTCAAAAATTAATAAAACTAACCTATATTGATAAAAATTAGAGAAAGAGTTACCTGAAGAGGAGTACTGGGCTATGCTATCCAATACATCTTGCTATAAAAATTTAAATAAAATAAAGTAAAAAATTCAGTTCCTCATGTGCATTAGCCAAATTTCAAGCACTCAATAGCCATATATGGACAATGGCTACTACGGACAGCAGAGATAGAAAATGTACACTTTCATCTTCATCAAAAGTTTTATTGATCAGCACTTTTCTAGCATGATGGGAATTTTCTGTATTTTGATCTAGGTGGTAGTTACATGGGTTTTTAAATATGAAATAACTCACCAGCTGTATACTTGAGATTTATATACTTTATATATTAGTTTATAATTCAATAAGTAAATAAATAAATATACATTTTTAAATGACTAGGAGAAAACATACAGTATTAATATCTAAACTATGAAGGACTCATAAATCAATAAGAACAAGATAGCAACTTAAAAATGGTAGGCAAGTAAACATATTAAAAAATGTCCAATAAACATATTAAAAGATGCTTAGATTCATCAAAAACCAGGGAAATACAATCTAAAACACTGAGATGCTACTTTTGCCTATTGTATGGGCAAAATTTTGGGTGTGTCAGTTATTTAAGTAAAATATGAATATAAGTAATTCAAGGACAAGAACCTTACTGTCTAGTTTGCTACCAAATTCCTAAAGTCTAGAACAGTGGTTGGCATACAGTAGGTACTCAATACATAATTATGAGTGGAATAAAGTGAGAAAGGAAAGTTGGAGAGGAAATTATATTCCCTTACTCCTATATTTACTATTGATGGGAGTGTAAAATAGAGGAAGCCTTTTTGAAGAGGAATTTTATAACATATAATTGCTGTTTATCTAGCAATTCAATTTCTCAATTTCTTCCCCAGGGAAACACTCATATGTAAGCACAAAGAACTATAAGAATTTATAATGTAACACTGTAATAGCAAAAATTTGCAAATAACATATATTGTGCATTAAGAGAAAAATGGCTAAATAAACTGTGGTTCTCCCATGCCGTATAATATTATATAGCAACTAAAAAAAAAACACACACCAAAGAAACAAAATAGATCTACATGTAATGACATAGAAAAACCTTCATATTAGGTTAAACAAAAAGTTATACACTAATGCACACATTTAAAAACAAAAATATCCACAAAATTATGTATAATGTGCACACATATATGTATATCAATGCATAGACTAAGAGGAGAAATTTATAACCCAAACTAGTAATAGTGGTTACTTCTACGAATAAGAGGTGAATTATGGGTGGTGGCTTTCACATTTTCTAAATTGAGTTTCCCACAATAAAACATATTCAGATATTACTCATGTAAAAATAACCCAACAGCCTGGCCAACATGGCTCAGTTGATTGAGTGTTGTCCCCTGCACTAAAAGGTCGCTGGTTCAATTCTGGCCAGGGCACATACCCAGGCGAGGATTTGATCCCTGGTCGGGGTATATGTGGGAGGCAATCAATGTTTCTCTTTCACATCAAATGTTTCTCTCTCTCTCCCTAAAACAGAAATCAATAAAAAGATAGTTTAAAACCACTACCACCCAACAAAAACTATTATTCTTCCTTAGATGTTGAGTTGTTGCTGTTCTACTTACTAATGGTGTAAAATGGCCTCAAATTAAAGGATTCCTACTTTTCTTTCCCCTCCATATTTTTGGATTTTTTTTTTAAACACCTGAGTACTCACTACTCAGTTTAAGAAATAATATATCACCTTCTACATAATGAGCTACTATCTACTTAAATTTCAAAACATTTCTCAATTTGAGAAATGGTAGACCTAAAGCCCCAATAGTTTATTATTTAGATTTCACATCTTAGGTCTCTGAACATAGACTGTTTAAAGAATTGCCCCTATCCAAAGCAATCGTCTACTAGAATGAAGTTATCTAAACAACATATTTTTAAAAAATTAGAACTTAACGTGCCAGTGCATGCCCTACCTGGGTTACTGGAATGTAGAGAGGCTCTCCATTATGCAGCAGTGTAAGTTTCCCATGCTGATTGAGTCGTCCTTCTGGCTTTAAATTTGCCATCTCCTTAAGTCCTCCTTTTTTGCCACTCTCTTGTCCATTTCCCTTAAATTCTTCAGTATCACTTAGGCATTCAAAAAATTCTTCTTCGCTATCACTCCAAGAATCCCAAGATTTTCCCACCTCTCCCTTTTCCTTGTCCATATCTTTTAGATTGTCTGGCCCCAGCTGGTCTCCAGGTCTTCCAGCATCCCCTGGATATGTATTAGTCACATTATCTGAAATACTTGTCTTTCTCTTCTCATCACGTGCCTTCTTTCTTTCAATACAACAATTTAACATCTTAAGAAAACAGAAATATATATATTTGAATTCATTACAGTAAAATAAAAATCAATCCACTGCTTGAATATTTAATGTTCATTCTCCATCCTTTCCCCTACACCTTGTTGTGAATGACAGTGATTTTAAGTAACCTACAGCAGCACAAAAAGAATGGCCTATAATCCGTACTTAAATTTAGCATCAGAAATAAGCTTCAACTGACTCAAGATCACATTAAATACTGTTACTGAAAAATCTTTACCTGTAGTTTCTGATGTAATAAACAGCATCTTAGATCTGGGGGGCCACTTGCTAATCTATCAAATAAAGCAGTGGGAAAAGAAAGATTAGTTTTAGTAAAATTGCTTCAGATCTGCCTAGTTTTTATACTACCACAAATTTTAGCCATATTGATAAGAAAATAAAACTAGAAACAAAGACAGGGCAAATAAGATTAAAAGATCAGAATTTATTTTATCCTCCTAGTACACAAATCACCAATAGCAAGTATAACAGATATTTCAAAGCTTAAGAGTAAAGTAGTGATAGCACTCAAGCTAATAGAAACTTAAAATAAAAAGTCTCTAAATCCACCCCAGGTAGTAGCTGGCATACAGTATTTCACACCATACAAAATAGATTAGACTATCTTTTTTAGTTCTCTATTACTATAGTGAATTCTCAATATAAAAACCATCAATCTCCACTTCTCTTTTGCCTGGAGTGCCTCTAATTCTAAACTACTAAATTCCCAGTAATCAGCTAACCAGAAACTGGCAAATGACACAAGAGTAAACATTTTTGGATTAGTCACCATTTTATATAACTCATATCATGAGTCTCCTCCCTTAGGAAGGGTAGATGCGCAGTAGTCAACATTTATGCTAACTAAACTCTCCTATGTGACTAAGTGAAATGTCAATATAAACTATACACACACAAAAATTCACAGGTAATGTTTAATATCTGAACTTATGAACGGTAGAGATGTTTTCCCTCCAACTATAAAAAACATGTTTACTACATGTAATTTAGAAAATGCACAAATGTAGAAAAAACAAAATAAAAATATGATTTCACACCTGGGAAAACTACTGTTGACATCTGGCTGTATTTCTTTCCATTTACTTTGCTGTACAATCCTATATAATAAAAGCCTAGGTGGCGTCATGCCCTCACGCCACACTCTAACGTGACGTCATCACAAGATAGCCGCCGCAAAATGGCTGCCACAAGATGGCCGGCAGGGGAGGGCAGTTGTGGGTGATCAGGCTGGCAGGAGAGGGCAGTTGGGGGCGACCAGGCCTGCAGGGGAGGGCAGTTGGGTGCGACCAGGCTGGCAGGGGAGGGCAGTTGGGGGCGACCAGGCCTGCAGGGGAGGGCAGTTGGGGGCGACCAGGCCTGCAGGGGAGGGCAGTTGGGGGCAACCAGGCCTGCAGGGGAGGGCAGTTGGGGGCGACCAGGCCTGCAGGGGAGGGCAGTTTGGGCGACCAGGCTGGCAGGGGAGGGCAGTTGGGGGCAACCAGACCAGCAAGGGAGGGCAGTTGGGGGCGACCAGGCCTGCAGGGGAGGGCAGTTAGGGGTGACCAGACTGGCAGGGGAGGGCAGTTGGAGGTGACAAGGCCAGCAGGGGAGGGCAGTTGGGGGTGATTGGGTCGGAAGGGGAGGGCAGTGGGGGCGATTGGGCTGGCAGGGGAGCAGTTAGGCATCAATCAGGCTGGCAGGCAGAAGCGGTTAGGGGCAATCAGGTTGGCAGGCAGGCGAGCGGTTAGGAGCCAGCAGTCCAGGATTGTGAGAGGGATGTCCCAGATTGGAGAGGGTGCAAGCCAGGCTGAGGGATACCCCCCACCCCCGTGCAAGAATTTCGTTACACCGGGCCTCTAGTATTACATATACATCAGCATAATTGAAAATGCGCAGTATATGCAATACTATATATTCTACTTTACTACAAATATTAGGATCATTTTCAATGTTATTAGATATTCTTGGGGAAAAACTTATAATAGATCTATAACTTTCCATTGTAGAGATATATAATAATTTATTTGGCCATTATTTTATATTTGGCACTTAGGCTGTTTCAACCTTTTTCTCCCCTATTATAAATTTAATGCAGTCAACACCTGTGAACATAAATCACGTCCAAAGTTTCTTACCATTTTCTTAGGGCACAATTCCTAGATGAGAATTTATTCAAAAGTCAAATGCTTCCCACAAACAAAAAATCCTGTCTACACAACTAGATATTGAAATTATTACCCTGGAATCAGAAAGTCGTTTTCCCATCTGAAACGCATTTCAAGGACAAATTCCTGCCAGAGGTGTGCCACTCCTTTCAATCCTCCATGGTAGAAATTGATCATACAGAGACACAAAGCCAATTTGTATGTTAAACTGTCAGATGGTGCAGATTTGAACTGATTGTAGAGATTCTAAATTTAACAGAATAGAAACAAAGCAAAACTTGTTAACAACATATTTATATGCATATTCAAAAACTGTGTGGGTGAAGATTTTAATACTAAAATTAATCTATCCTAGCAAAACTAGTTTTTATCAATGTTTAATACATTATTGCCTAAATTGTTCTTAGGCAGTTCCATGTTTTCAAGATTTCTACAAGGATCAAAAAAGTGAGGCTTGCCCTGGCTGGTTTGGTTGGGTGGATAGAGCATCGGCCTGCGGACTGAAGGGTCCCAGGTTCAATTCCAGTCAAGGGCATGTACCTTGGTTGCGGGCACGTCCCCAGTGGGGAGTGTGTAGGAGGCAGCTGATCGATGTTTCTCTCTCATCGATGTTTCTAACTCTCTATCCCTCTCCCCTCCTCTCTGTAAAAAAAAAAAAAAATCAATAAAATATATTTAAAAAAAAGTGAGGATCTAGTTTGGTGATATAAAAGTTATAAGTTTCAATTTCTTCTGTGGAATCTTCAAGATGTATTCCAATTTTTATGTTACTTTTAAAAACCCTTTACTTAAAAATAGTACACACTTGTTGTCAAAACCAAAAACAAAAGTGTCATTTAAACTCTCATTTCTCAATTTATCAAAGACCTGGATAAGGAAAACATAAAAAATTTACTTAATTTACATATTTTACATTATTAATGAGTTTTTCACTCACTTGCTAGTTTGAAATACAGGAACAAATCTGTTGCAAAACAAATTTTATTATTTACAAAAAGTCTAAAATGAGGGAAATCACACAATCATGCAGAGTATTTTATGCTATTTTTTCCCATTGTTACCAGAAAAGTTCTTGCTACTGAAAATACGTCAATGTCCTATAGCAGATCATTTTCTGAGTGGAGGCCTTGATCACCCCTTATGTTTTCCTAAAGTGATTTTTAAAATAAAAAGATCCTTATTCTACTAATCTAGAAATATAGCAAATCCTTAGAAATTTGATGCATTTTAATCACTGGACTTACATATTCTTCACTCTCTGACAAAGGATTGTTGTCCATTGAAGAAGTTCCATCTAATGGTTTCTCAGAAGCAGCATCAGGGAATAAGAACTTAGGGAGAAAGGAAATAACCACAATGTCAAACAAATTTCCTAATTTGCTGATTTTTGCTACTCATATAGGCACTAGTTGACTTTTTAATGATTTTGCTATTAAAACAGTGAAAATGCTCTTATTGACTGGCCAGTTGGTTCTTCATTATTTCAAACTATTTCTATTTTTCTTTGAAGATACAGAGGTTTAGTGACTAGCCAATTTTAGGAATCAGAGGTTTTTCTTAATAGTAACTACCTGGTTCTGTAAACTAAACTGAATGCAAAACCAAAATTTCTTCACTATGATTGCAGGTTCATCTGGTCATTAAAGTTTTAAGAAAGTGTTAATATTATAAAAAAGACAAAGCTATAAAAGAAAAAAATTAAGTACCCATATATTCATGAGACTCAGTTATATTATCTATAGGTTTTCATATATGAAATAATAAAAGTATAATATTTAGGACACGTAACTTCATTTTATGAGATTCTCCTAGAAAGTAAGAAGCAGTCTAAACCTGTAATGACCAGTGTATCTTTTCCACATGGTCTTTGTTTATGTGTCTGTGTGTAGGATTGGTTAAAAAAGAAAAATTCAGTGCATATAACAATTGAGCTATATAACTGGAGTAACATCTCTAAGGATACATTCTTAAGAAGGGGACTTCTCTACAGAAATTTACTTTCAGCCCTCCCCCCCCCCTTTTTTTTAAATCACTGTTTCTCCCAAGGGCTCTGTGGTATTGTTGACTTGTAATTCCTTTTACTATGCATACTTTGCCACATATTACAGAACATACTCAACAGATTTTTAGAAATAGAGGAACTACTGTGTGCCAACCCCACTAACTCAGCACATTTACCAACATTATCCTATTCTCATATCACTGTGTGAGCTAAGTAACACTGCCCATGTCTTAGAGACATAGAAGCTGAAAATCTGGCCAAAAATATTGTTCAGATTAATGACAGTGATAAGATTAACATGAAGTTTAGAAGACCAGTCTTCTTTTCATTGTACTACTCTTGAAAGTTTTCCCAAGACTGTCTTAATGCACAAATTGCCAGAAGTATGATTATAACTACAATTACAGTGAAGAATATGGATCAAAGGCCTATTTTCTGCCAGGCAAAGTAACAGAAGGTCCTTTAACACTCACAACAATCTCACAAGGTTTTATCAGCCTCATTTACAGATGAGGAAACTGAAGTCAAATGGGTGTTCAAATCACAAAGTCAGGCTCCCAGGCTGGGCCTGTTCCACCACACTATACCTAGGAGACACCCAGGCCCTCTTACTATTCACTACAATATAAGCTTTCTCTGTGAAAGAAATTAGATGGAGTTCAAGTGTCCCTCTGTGTGAAGCCTTCCCTGACTGCCACTGCCCAGAGATGAGGCACCCCTGCTGTGCTCTCACAGCCCCTCTGCCAGACTTCTCAAACGGAACACGTATTGTAAGTATTGTTGACTTTCCTTTTTCCCAGACAACAGTGAAAACTCTCTGAATGTGGGGACTTTGTTTTACTCATTTTATATTCCCAATCCAGTGCCCGCCACACAGAAAGGACTGAAGATATAATGAATAAATGCATATGCATGTAGACATATAAAGACATTAGTGCTTACCAAGAGAATAGTGTTGAGGACATCATTATTCAGTGGTGACTCTTCTACACCTCTGTGTTTTTTTATTTTCTTCTTTGCAGTATGTACCATATTTGAAACTGATAATTTATGAATTGGAACTGGTGCTGGCTCTGTCAACTTTGACAAAGCGTGAGTTATATCAGCAATTTCTAGAAGAATAGAAATGAATACAAATTATATCACCAACCTTGGCAGATCAAAGTGGTGAGTAAACCGAAGACTGTATAAAATACTTTAGTCACTCCTTTTACTAGTGTTACATGACTCAGAATTATAAAATTTTAATACACGTTTACCTTCATATGCATGTATGATTGACAAAGGTGTAACACAAGTTACTTCTCCACAGGGGACTTCAAAAATAAACCTCTAAAACCCTGCCTTTCAAAATAGCTTACATTCTTGGTGGAAAGAGCTTATTAAATACACTTAGTGCTTTAAGCTCAGGGTATATAGTATAACCTAGAGAGAAATGGTTAGCTATCTAGTCCAGCAACACTTGCTTTTCCAACTTAATTCAAGTAAGAAAATAGATAAATAGTTGCTAGAAACATGCCTAAGAAAAGGAGTCTCACATTTGAAAATAACTTAAAAAAAGGTAGGTTACCTCTCCCTTCTTCCTCAAATGTGGATCGTCCAAGAATCTCATCAGTTGATTCTTTCCGACGGCAAACTTTAAAAAATTCAGTGACAAAATCACCTACAGAGAAAAAAAAGTTATTAATTTTTGACACTTAACAATGAAATCAGTCCTATAAATTACAGTACATGCCTTTTCACAAAGCTATTAAGATATGGAAAAAAATTTCAAAAAACATTCAGTATTTACAACTCAAGACAAAAATTAATCCAATTTCAAAGGAAACCTGGCTCCACCTTTATCTCCATATCCCAGGACAGTAAATTTTTTCCCCTTAGAATTCCTTCTAGAATAAATGGAAAGAAACCGTACCTAATAATATAAAGCCCTTGCTCTGTGCCTGAATAAGACAAAGAGTATCTATTCTCATTAAGCTGTACTAGTAACAAGAATATTACCCTATGTATACAGTGGTCTTTGTTCCCTAACTGCCACCCTATTGGAATTCGGAATCCATTAAAAAAATCAAAATTTAAAAAATTTACAAGACTTAAATAGTCCTAGCTGGTTTGGCTCAGTGGATAGAGTGTCGGCCTGCAGACTAAAGGGTCCTGGGTTCGATTCCAGTCAAGAGCACATGCGCCTGGGTTGCCGGCTCGATCCTCAGTAGGGGGGCGTGCAGGAGGCAGCTGATCGATGATTCTCTCTATCATTGATGTTTCTGTCTCTCTCCCTTCCTCTCTGAAATCAATAAAAATATATTTAAAAAAGAGACTTAAATGTAAGGCACGAAACCATAAAAGTCTTAGAAGAAAACATAGGTAGTAAAATTTCAGACATCTCACATAGCAGAATTTTTGCCAATACATCTCCTAGGGAAAAAGAAAACTAAGGAGAAAATAAACTAATGGGACTATCAAAATAAAAAGCTTCTGCACAGCAAAAGAAACCAACTTCAAAATGAAAAGGGAACCTACTATATGGGAGAACATATTTGCCAGTGATACATCTGGTAAGGGGTTAATATCCAAAATATATAAAGAACTCATATAACTCAATAAAAGCAAGATGAACAATCCAATTAAAAAATGGGCAGAAGACCTGAATAGACATTTCTCCAAAGAGGGCATACAAATGGCCAAGAGACATATGAAAAAATGCTCAAAGTCACTAATCATCAGAGAAATGCAAATTAAAACCACAATGAGATGTCACCTCATACCTGTCAGAATAGCTATCATCAAAAAATTAACAAGCAAGTGCTGGTGTGGTTGTGGAGAAAAGGGAACCCTAGTGCACTGCTGGTGGAAATGCAGACTCTTGCAGCCACTGTGGAAAAGAGTATGGAGTTTCCTCAAAAAATTAAAAATGGAACTTCTGTTTGACCTAGTGATCCCACTTCTGGGAATATATCTTAAAAACCCTGAAACACCTATCAGAAAGAATATATGCACCCCTATGTTCATAGCAGCATTATTTACAATAGCTAAGATTTGGAAACAGCCCATCAGTAGATGAATGGATAAAAAAAAGCTGTGGGACATTTACACAATGGAATACTATGCAGCTATAAAAAAGAGGGATCTCTTACCCTTTGGGACAGCATATTATGCTAAGTGAAATGAGCCAATCTGAGAAAGACAAATATCACATGATCTCACTTATTTGTGGAATCTAATGAACAGAGTGAATTGGCCAACAAAATAAGACCAGAAGCATGGAGGCATGGAACAGACTGACATACCTTGATGTGTGGAGAGGGGGACAAGAAGAGATAAACCAAAGAACTTATATACTTATATGTATAGTCAATGGACACGAACAATAGCGTGTGAAGACCTGGGGGGGTGGGTAGGGGCTAAAATTGTAAAAATCAATGGTCTTTCCATCATATACCACAGGTTGGGAGGCATAGCAAAAGGCAAAAAGGGCTCCAATAACTAGAATGGAAGATGCAGACTATGCCACAGGAGGAAAACCAGGAAGTGACATAAATACATTTTAAGACTAAAACTCAGATCATGAGAAAATATCAGATAATTCTGAGATGTGACTGGTTAAAACTAAAATACTCTGTTAGTGCTATTTAAGAGTAACTAGAAGAATTCACTACTGTTAGCAAAGATTTTTAATAATTGATCGAGAGAGAGAGAGAGAGAGAGAGAGAGAGGGAGAGAGAGAGAGAAGTTGCCCCCTGCTCCGCCATACACGCCCCGACCAGGGATGGAACCCGCAATCTGGGTATGTGCCCTGACAAGGAATTAAACCCAGTACCTTTTGGTATATGAGACAATTTAGCAGATCTACAAAGCACTTCAACAAATGTAAAAAAAAATAAAAATATTTTTTGGACAGATAAAATAAAGTATAAAGAATGAGTTCAATGTTCCTGATCTGGAAGACAGGCAGACTGGTGGTATTTCAGGAAAGGAAGATAATACATCTTACCTAGCAAACACTGAGGATTATCAGCTTTTCGAACTCTAACAGACCAATGGGGAGCCTGAAGAGGATCCAAATCACTAAAATGTAAAACAATAAACATAAGATCCTAATTATGATCATCTGTAATACTCATGAATTTATCAAAATGCAGTCTAATAAAAGCATTACACAGAAGGATAAGCTATACATTTTGCTTCCTTTAAACTTACTATTATTCTGAGGCCATTTGGATGAGTTAAAAAAAAATCTTAAGAAACCAAAGTGCTTGGAAAAATAGAACAAAAGGAAATAACAAAAAAATTTTTAAAAAGTGGTCAATGCACATTGATAATCTAATGAAATTACATTAGGAAATATAAAAAAGGAATGAGAAATAACTAAGTATGCATTTTAAAAATATATATTATCAAACAGCAAATCATTATGTTGCACACCTGAAATTAATACAATGTTATGTCAATTATAACTCAATTATTAAAAAAAGGATACACCCCAAAATACTAACTGGCTGTTTTATAAGTAATGCGATTCTAGGTAGTGTTTACTTTTTTCTTTATACCCATCTTAATTATCTGATTAAGAAAGCTCATGTTATTTTCACCAGCAGCAAATACAACACATTTGTTTTAATTATGAAAAGAAAAAGTATCTTATTTCTCCTGTTCTGCATCAGGAATGAGAGGGTACTAAAACTGCGTTCCTCTTTCTCCACATTCTTCCTAGATAGATAATGCTTGCTGTAATTTTCAAGTCATTTCCATTGGTAAGGAGTATATGATATGGATGTTATTTATGACATTTAAAGATCAAATATTTCCACACTTTCTGATGATGACCATCCTTTCAAATCACTTCATGAAATGCTTCTAATCAGCTAAGAAAAGTTTAACAGAATTATGTACTAAATCCCAACTGATTAGATATATCTTTGCTAAAACCGAGTAAGACTGAGATTGTTCATCATCTCTGAACTAAGAATCATATCCCCAAAGAAAGAAGCTTAAAAACACATCTTTAATACGTATTAATCAGTCTTAAGAGTGATATTTAAAAAATAGAAAAATCAACCTTATCAGAAACTGATATAAAAGAAAATTGCTAACCATTGGCAGTTAATTTATTTTACTGAAATGTTTGAGTCTCAATGCATAACTCTTAACATACTTACGAATAAACATCATTATCCACAATGATACCTTCAGTCAGGTGAGGCCATGTAGTTGCTAAGTGGAGTTCACTAAAAAGAAACAAAACATAAAATATATCCGAAAGCTTTAATGTGTGTGTGTATACGTGTGTGTGTGTGTGTGTGTGTGTGTATGTGTGTATATATATATATATCTTCTAACTCTAGAAATGTATCCTAAGTAAATAACCAGGGATATACACACAAGTATGTTAAAAGTGGTATTATTTATAACACAATAAAAATGGAAACAACTAGTTTAATGAATGGTAGCACACCCATATGAAGTAAATGTCTTTGCAGACATTAAAAAATCGTACTATACATAACAGCCAAAAAGTGTAAATAACCCAAATGTCTATCAGCTGATGGGTAAATAAAATGTGGTATATCCACACAATGGCATATTATATAGCCACGAAAAACAATGAAGTAGTGATTCATGTTATAATATGGATTAGAGGCCTGGTGCACGAAAATTTGTGCACTTGAGGGGGGGGTCTCTCAGCCCAGCCTGCGCCCTCTCACAGTCCAGGAGCCCTCAGGGGATGTCCTACAGATGGCCTCCCTCTGCGTGAGGCGACCAGGCTGGCCCATCAGGGGACGGCACTGCCCCCATCACCCCACCACTGGCCTCCCTCTGCGGGAGGCGACCGAGTGGCCGGTGTGGCCCCGCCCCCTCTCCCATCGTCCCTCTGCCGCCACTGGTCACTGCCATTTCCCTCCCCCATCACCATCCCCTCCCTCTGTCCGCTGGCATGCAAATTGGCCAGCCTGGTGCCACCTGCTCGCTGGCCCTGCCCCTCGCCCACTGGTTGTTCCGCCATTCAGTCTATTTGCATATTACATTTTTATTATATAGGATTAACCTAAAAAACATTATGCTCCCTGGCCCCGGTGGTAGAGTGTTGGCCCTCACACTGAAAGGTTGAGGGTTAGATTCCCAGTCAAAAGCATGTTCCTGGGTTGCAGGTTTGTTCCCCACCCCAGTTAGTGCATGGGTTGCAGACTCTCTCTCTCCCCACTACCTTCCACTATCTCTCTTAAAAAAAAAAAAAAAAAAAAAATCAATGGAAAAAATATTCTCAGGTGAGACTTACCAAAATGAACAAACAAAAAAAACACACATTATGCTAAGTGAAGGAAGCCAGACATGAAGGAGAACATATTGTATACTGCAATTTATATAAAATGTCCTGAATGGGAAAATTCATAGAAACAGAGAGTAGCACTTTCCTATAGCTGGAGAGCCTGGGAAGATTAGGAGGGATGGCAGCTAAGAGGTAAGGTGTTTCTTTTTGGGGTGATAAAAGTTTTTGGGATTAGATAGTGATGATGGTTGTACAACTCTGTAAATACTAAAAACCACTAAATTGTACTTATTTGTTTGTTGGTTTATTTATTGTTAATCCTCACCTGAAGACATTTTTTTCCATTGATTTTCAGAGAAAGTGGAGGGGAGGGAAGAGGGAAGGACAGAGGGGAGAAGGAGGGGAAGCGAGAAGGTGAGAGGAAGAGAGAATGACATCATCGATTGGCTGCCTCCCACACATTCCCTGACCAGGGCTGGGGATCAAACCTGCCACTGTGGTATGTGCTCTTGACCGGAAGCGAACCCTAGACCTGTTGGTAAGCAGGCCAATACTCTAACCACTGAACCATGCTGGCCAGAATTGAATTGTACACTTTTAACTGGTGAATTTCATGGTACATGAATTACATGCCAATTTTTTTGGGAAAAAAAGTTATATATGAGGGTTGGCAAAGTTCTTCTGCAAAGGATCAAAGAGTAAATATTTTAGCTGTTGTGAGCCACGTGGTCTATGTTATATTTTTGGTTGTTTTTTCTTTTAAAACCTTTTACAATGTAAAAACCATTCTTGGCTCTTTGGCTATAGAAAAGCAGGCAACTGGCCAGATTTGATCCACAGGTCATATAGTTTGGGGATCTCTTATAAATGAATATTAAGTTTCAAAAAATGTTCATGTAAAATTATAAAATAAAAAAAGCAAGCCACAAAAAATATAGAGGATGACAAACATTTATAAAATATCTATATATATAAATGCCTAAGTGACCGTTATGACCTGATGACTGGATGACCAGCCAGTAGCTATGATGCACACTGACCATCAGGGGGCAGACGCTCAATGCAGGAGCTGCCCCCTGGTGGTCAGTGTGCTCCCACAGCCAACCTCCCATGGCTGGCCAACCTCCTGCGGTGTCTTCCCCGCCAACCGCCCCGGCTGGCCCTGATTGGGACTGGGCAAGATGGCCCCTATAGGCCCAATTGTCGGCCAAGCTGAGGGACTCCACTGGTGCATGAATTTGTGCACCAGGCCTCTAGCATAAATATATTGTGCAAAAAATAAGTTAACATAGCAGGCCTAATAGGACTACTTGCAAGGCTGGCCCTTGGCTTGATATCTGGGAACTTGAATTTCAGAAGGGTTCCTACCATTTCCTGATAAAAGTGGCTCACTGTGCCTAAACTACTTGTGCAAACAATATGATTTAAGTTGAATACCCGCTTTCTTTTTTTTTTTTTTTTTTTAACATATTTTATTGATTTTTTACAGAGAGGAAGGGAGAGGGATAGAGAGTTAGAAACATCGATGAGAGAGAAACATCCATCAGCTGTCTCCTGCATACCCACTACTGGTGATGTGCCCGCAACCAAGGTACATGCCCTTGACCAGAATCGAACCTGGGACCCTTCAGTCCGCAGGCCGATGCTCTATCCATTGAGCCAAACCGGTTAGGGCCCTACTTTCTTTTTGATATATTTTAGGTAGAGGGTGCCTACGTGACCAGCCCCAGATAAAAACCCCAAGCATTGCCCTGGCTGGGTGGCTCAGTTGGTTAGAGCATAGTCCAATACACCAAAAGGATGCAGTTTTGATTCCTGGTCAGGGCACATACCTAGATTGCAGGTAGTATTCCTGGTTGGGGCACATATGGAAGGCAACTGATTGATGTCTCCCTTGCACACCGATGTTTCTCTCTCTCTCTCTCTCTCTCTCTCTCTCTCTCTCTCTCTCTCTCCCTGTCTCTCTCTTTCTCCCTCTCTCTCTCTCCCCCCCCTCCCCTCCCCCCCCCAAAATCAATAAAAAATATAAAAACATAACAAAACAACAACCATAACCTTGGGTCAGGATAAAAGAACAACAAACAAATCCTAAGCATTGAACCTCTAATGAGCTTCCCTGGTAGATAGCCTTTCACACATCACAATGCATTGCTGGGAGAATTAAGTGTATCCTGCGTGACTACACTGGGAGAGGAAGCTTGTGCCTAGTTTGCTCTGGATCTCACCCTATGTGCCTTTTTCCTTTGATTTTTTCATTGTATTCTTTTGCTATAATAAATCACAGCCACAAGCACAACTGTTGAGTTCCATGAGTCCTCCTAACAAATCACTGACCTGAGGGTGGTCTTGCAAACCCTTGTTGCACATGCATTTATACACACCAAACTAACACACAGAAAAAGTGGCTGGAAGAACACATATCAAGCTGTAATTAGTGATCTCCTACGAGTGGTGGGATTATGAATTTAGTGAATTTATTTTTTCCTGTCTAGATTCTAAATTCACTTATGTTTGGGGACTACAGAAACCAAAAAGAGCCAATTACATTAATTCGCTGATCTTTGGTGATGCTTAACTAATTGGCAACTCCAGTTGGAGACTCGGAATCCACAAGTACGGTTTAGAATTCACTGTGAAAGCAGGGCCAGCTCTCCACAATAATGCAATGTAACCTCAGTTATGAACTGAGCAACTAGACACCCTTGGTTCAAGCCTATTTTCCAACCCCCATCCTATAATGGTTCCAATTAAACATTTGAGTTACCAAATATCTTTCCAATAAAGATGATTAGAGTTTAAAACTCTAAGCTCCTGAGTGATTTTAGGTATTAACCTTAGATTCAGTTCCTAAGCTTTTATCACTATGTCCTCTCCTCTCCCTCTAACTATAGAACAGTTTCTTTGACAAGAAGAAAAGACACTAAAAAAAGCCTCTTCATTTCCTCTTCCACGGCCAAAGATTCCTTTTTAAAAGCATAGCGCTCACAACATTTCTAGTCACCATTTGATTTAACTGGTCTTCCATATGTATCACCTTACCCCCAATTTATTTGTGCATTCTTCTTTAATCATTTGTTTCTCTACTGACTCCTCATCACATATAAAATTAGAAAGAAATATTTAATAACTAATTATTTCAAATTTCTACTACCAGGTCAATTTTATTCTTTCCACCTAAATTTTCATTAAGCAAAATTCAAATGAATGAGTCAGTTGGAGGGTGATAAATCTATCTTTAAGTCACCATATACAATTTCTCTTGTTTGCTGTATTCTAGCCATGCTGGCCATCTTGCATTTCTTCCAGTAGACAAACTAAACTCTTTCCTACATCAAGACCCCTTGCACAGGCTCTTCCTACCACCTGGAATGGTTGTTCTCTAACTCTTTGCATGTATAAGTCCTCCCCTAACTGAGACTAAAGTTAAATATACTTCCTTTGAGAACACTTTCCTGATGGTGCCCCAATCTAAACTAGCTCCTAATTTTACTGTCATTACAGCCTGTATTCTTCCTTCAATTATCCCTCAACTTGTATGTTTATGTAGGTGATTATTTCAAGTCTATTTCCTTCAACTAGACTGTAAATACCAAGAAGGCAGGTACTTTTATTTACTTCTGTATCTTCCTCATTTAGCACTGTGCCCAGCTCATGTAATAAAAAAATGTTAATTACAAAAGATACTCACTTTTTCTTCTCCTGAGTAATTTTTAAAGTATTATTATTTCTAACTCTATGTAAGATTATTAAGAATGTACATATACATGTATATATATTTTTTCATTAACCAAATAGTTTAACTTAACAAATAAGATAGCTTCTAAATCACCATTGTTTATATTTTCCAAATATTTTATTACTGGTGATTAAACTTTCCAAGCCCCACATTTTCTTGTGAAACAACTTTTTCTTAAAGTTCAGTAGCTCTTTTAGAAAAGCAGGTGGGTAACCTAAGAGGTTACCCTTATGCCTTAAGTCTTAAGTCTTAATTTGTACATTTTGAAAAAGTAGTCACGAAAAATGTAAATGTTAATTCTGGGTGAAAGATACATGAAAGTTTGTTACATATAACATTCACAATCTGTTTTCAATATTTCAAATGTTTCCCAAAAAGTAGACCAAGAATCACTTCTATAGGAAAAATCAATAAATGGTATTATATACATCTTATACATTATTTTAAAGCTTCTTATTTCTTAAGTTACAGAGAGAAAAAAAAGACGAACAGATTGTTAGTCATAGGTCTGAATCCAGTACTATATTCATTGCAGGAGGCTACATTAAAAAGCACAGTAAAATCAGTATTAATATAATTTTTAAAGTGAAGTCCCATAATTCAAATAGATTAAAATTCTCACCTTATAGGATCTTCACAGGCACCAAATGGTAGCTTGCCAAACTCCAAACCTCCAACTTCCCCTCCTACAAGGGCATCTATATCTAAACAAAATAAACGTTTTTCCATTATTGAGCAAAAAATAGAAGAATTAGTTAGGTTAGCCCTTTGGAGGATTATAAACTTAAAAATGCCTACTTCGGCCTAACCGGTTTGGCTCAGTGGATAGAGCGTAAGCCTGCAGACTGAAGGGTCCCAGGTTCTATTCTGGTCAAGGCCATGTACCTTGGTTGCAGGCACATCCCCAATAGGGGGTGTGCAGGAGGCAGCTGATCGATGTTTCTCTCTCATCAATGTTTCTAACTCTCTATCCCTCTCCCTTCCTCTCTGTAAAAAATCAATAAAATATATTTTAAAAAAATAAATAAAAGTGCCTACTTCAAGAGCTCATACAGCAAGTCAGAGAGCAAGCAGTCAGGTATTAAAGACTGCCCCAAGAAAACTATAGTAAAGGGACACAACTCCTATTCCTATTTATCCAGTGTTTAATTCAAATCATGCATTCCAATTTTAACCTCCTTAAATATTCCTTAAATATTATTCAAAAGAACATTATTTTGCATTTCCTAAGAATGTGATTAATATCATCTAAAAGAAAGATTATCCAAGTATTAAAAAATTTAAGCACTACCCTACATTCATCAGTTTTGCTGTCAATAGTTTCTGAATAACAAATTAGTCATCATTAATAAAATCATATTTCAGTTGATAGTACATGGGAATATTTAAAGTTCACCAAAGAATTCCTTTCCATTAAGAATGGTTATCTGAGATCAGAGAATTTAGAAGGTAAAACACTCCCCTAAATTCCATTCCTCTCGAAGAATAAACACTTCTAAAACACACCAAAAGGATTTATTTCTATCTGAAATAATACAGATGGTTATTTTCTAATTATTCATACTACCCTGGGAATTCCTAAAATTAAAGTCTACTACTGAGTTATGAACATGCGCAGATTTGCTAAAATCATGTTTGACGAACTATACCCTGACTAAATTATTAAAATTAGTCATTATATAAGGTTCACTTACTTGATTCAGCAAATTTTCTCAAGTCAATTCAATCCATTTTTCCAACTAAAGAATTCTTACAATAATAAAGATCACAATGGCCGAACCGGTTTGGCTCAGTGAATAAAGATCACAATGACTAGCTTTATTACAAGATGCCAATTTTTGAGAGCTTCAAAATTTATAATAAGCACATTTTGTAAATTAAAATTACTAGACTATAACTAGTAAATTATTTATTACTAGAGGCCCAATGCACGAAATTTGTGCAAGAATAGGCCTTCCTTCCCCTGGCTGCTGGCACCGGCTTCCCTCTGACACCCGGACCCAGGCTGCCCTCAGGCCTCTGGCAGGCACCCAGGACCAGGGCTTCCTTCCCAGCCCTGGCTTTGTCCGGAAAGTTGTCCGGAAGGATGTCCATTCTAATCAGCATTATTATGCTTTTATTATTATAGTTTCAAATTATTCAATGGTACATAAAGATAGTAGTAGTATATATAACTACCAAAGCTAAGAATGTATTACATTACTTTTAATATCATCCCAAGATTACCAATTTGTTATTTTCAATCCTATAAATAACCAACTACTTAGAATAAAAATAAACAGTAAAGAATATTCTTTAATTCTCATTTATTTCTCTTTGAGGGAGGGAGATTGAAAAATGTTTTCAGGCTAGTAAAATCCTTATAATAATTTATGTTTGTATTTAATTTCTTTTTAGATATACGTGAATATAATTTTACTTTTAAGTAAGAGAAACACCCAGGAAACAAAACCTCACTTAATTAGGCTCTATGTCTCTCAGGCTGAGCTTTTCTAGAACTTATATGACATCTTATTTATATTTGTGTCTCTAGCACAGTCTGCCTATTATAAGCCTACTAGAGGCCCAATGCACAAAATTCATCCTTCCCCCAGCTGCTGGCACTGACTTCCCTCTGGCACCTGGGATTTGGGCTTCCCTCCGGCCGCTGGCAGGCATCTGGGACCCGGGCTTTGCTCTGGCCCCGGCTTTGTCTGGAATGACGTCTGGTCTAATTAGCATATTAGGCTTTTATTATTATAGATCATTAATGATTGTTGAATGAAGCAGTATTTCAATGGCTAAGCAAGTAAATTGATTTTAATTGCATTTTTATCAAACACAAGTTAAAATACAATATTCTACAGGTCTTCCCATCATAAGTATATGTGTATACAAACATTTTTTAATCTGTTTTCCTTATTTAATACTCTTCTTCAAACTCTATAAAGTTCTCTGCAGTCCATCCTCAGCTTACGATAGCTTCTCTTATTATAATAGTCTAAAAACAGACATTTTAATCATTCGCTGCATATAGCATATGATGTTCCACAGCAGGGGGATGCTTTATAAGCAGTATTAGCTTTCAAAGACAAGTTGTCAAGTATAGAGTAATACTGTCTCTAGAACAATCTAAAGAGGTTTTATTTAAGAGAAAAAAATGAAGGAAATAAAATCAGCAATATTGCATTTAGAATGAACTACAGATATTTCAAGTTTAAAACACCTAAAACACACTCTTAAATAATTTTAATTCCTGAATATATTTTCTTTTCTATTTATATTCAGTAAGTGAAATACAGTTTTAAATTATCTCACCTGGAGGTTGCTGAGGCCAAAAATACTGCTGCCAATCCTGAAGTACATAGGTCAATCGAATAGCAATACTAACTGCAGGCAATGGTGTTAAAGGACATCCCTAGGAAATAAATGCAAAGACAGAATGGTGTAGCTTAAAAAACACACAAAGTATTTTAAAAAAACAATGCCAAAGAACAAAATGATATTAGAATAAAACTGTTTAAATTACTACCTGGAAACAAGATACTAAATCCTATTAGGCAAATTACTCTTTCAAAATATCTTACACAATTTCAATTATACTAGTACTAGAGGCCCAATGCATGACATTCGTGCAAGAGGGCTCCACCCTCGCAGCCCCAGCTGCCTTGGCCCTCACATCCCCAGCTTCATCCAGAAGGTCGTCCAGATGGTTGTTCTGCTGGTCAGCTGTTCAGCTGATTTGCATATTGTGCTTTTATTATTATAACTAGAGGCCTGGTGCAAGAATTCGTGCATGGGTGGCGTCCCTCGGCCTGGCTAGCGGTCAAGGCCTATTGGGGGGCTGGCCGGACAGGGGGAGGGACTGTGGGAGGTTGGCTGGCCCGGGGAGAAGGGCCGTAGGAGGTTGGCCAGCCAGTGGGGGGAGGCAAGGGGCCACGGGAGTTTGGCCAGTCAGGGGGAGGGGCCGCGGGAGGTTGGCTGTGGGAGCGCACTGACCACCAGGGGCAGCTCCTGTATTGAGCGTTTGCCCCCTGGTGGTCAGTGCACATCATAGCGATTGGTCAACTGGACATTCTGGTCACTTGATCGTAACAGTCACTTAGGCTTTTATATATATAGATGTCTTTTTTAAAAAATTAATTGTCTAAAGTTTTACATGTGTCTCCTTTTTCCGCATTTGATGCTCCCCCCAACCATTCCCACCCAAGGCAAAGCCCCACTACAGATAATTTCTTACTATTCTCTTCAGCCATATTAAATGTGAAAAACCTATAATTCATTTTTTAAATAAGGTAAAACTATTACCAAGTGTAAGACTAGGTTTGGGGAGATGATTGATGTCTTTTCTTTCTTTTAAATGAAAATAAACTCAAATTAAAGCCAGTCTTGAATACTGAACCAAAGTTTTAGACTAAAAGAAATGGTCACTCATGCAAACTAATTTACAGTAATGAATCAGTTAACAGAAGATTTAGGTTTATCTTTACCTTCATTAAAAATCATAAAAATTAATGTCATCCAAACATCCTGTGACTTCAGCTTCCCTTAATACTACTCATCCTACATAAATGTGGAATAGGGCTTAAAAGTGCATAGGAATCACTTCAGGAGCCTGTGAAAATGTAGATTCAATAGTATTCTGCATATCTAACCAGTTTCCAGGTGTTGTAGCTACTGCTGGTTAGGAGGAAGAAGAGACATTTAGCTCAACAGCAGCATCTATAAATGTCACTAGTAGCTTTAACTGAATACAAACTTAATCTAAAGTCAAAATATAAGGTGGTTGCCAAAAAGATGATTTGGTTTTGGGCTGCTGTATCCTACACAAGCAAGATAAGATTCTGGCTGGTCACTAATCATCTTTTTAGCCAGGTCCAGATAGCAAATGAGAGCTCACATGTAATAAGGTACAAATGGTCTAGAAACTATAACAAGGTTGCTTTGTAACATAACCTCTGCTCCAGTCAGATAGCCATGTAGATAAATACAGAAAGAGAAACCAAAAAGAAATAGCTAAGATCAAACATGACATATATATCTTTGTGGGCCCTAAAAAAGGAACGGAAAAATGATAAATGGGGCTCAAGGCACATGCCTGCTGAGTTGACAGCCTAGGATTGCAGACTGCACTATATGGGACCAAAAGTGTTCCACACAGAAGAAGGCGGGCACTGCAAGACCCTCTGTTTAAGACAGACACTGGGGCAGGGCACTCCTGCTTGGTACAGTGGCCTTGTTGGAAGCTATGGGAATAGGAAGAATTATTGTGTAAGGGGAAAACACTCATTCTTATGATCTGAGCAAATAATGCAGAAACTCTAATACCCCAAATATCACCACAGAATAAGAGGCTCCAACACCATTTTAAAATGTGTTTCTGAAATATCCTGGAGGTAGGGAGCAACCACAAAACCACTAGAAAAAGTGGGAGAGAAAGTTTAAAATGTTAAATATTTAAAATGTGCCTGCAAAAAATTTTTATCCAAAACATGATGAAATGTAGTTCTAAAAGAGACAAATATCAAAATCAACAATCCAAATATAAAACCATGAAATATAAAGAGCACCTGGGGGGAAAAATGAAGAATGTCTAAAAAGAAAAAGAAAAAACTAGTGTGTGTAAGTTTTCAAAGATTTAGAGGTGCCCTGGCCTGGTGGTTCAGTTGGATGGAGTGTCATCCCATACACCAATAGGCAGGTTCAATTTCCAGTTGGGATGCATATACTAGTACAGTGATGGCGAACCTATGACATGCGTGTCAGAGGTGACACGAGAACTCATTTTTTTGGTTGATTTTTCTTTGTTAAATGGCATTTAAATATATAAAATAAATATCAAAAATATAAGTCTTTGTTTTACTATGGTTGCAAATATAAAAAAATTTCTATATGTGACACGGCACCAGAGTTAAGTTAGGGTTTTTCAAAATGCTGACATGCCAAGCTCAAAAGGTTCGCCATCACTGTACTAGTAGGAGATAACTGCTGTTTCTTTCTCTCCCTCTCCCTCTTTCTCTCTCAAAATCAATAAAAACATATCCTCAGGTGAGGATTTAAAATTATTTATATATATATATATATATATATATATATATATATATATATATATATAAATACACACACACACACACATATATAATATATACATATATAATATATATATATTTAATTAGAGGATTGTGGCAGAAGAGGATTTAAACTTAAATTTTATGTGACACCAGAGGGTAGAACTGCTCCCACCCAAAAGGAAGTCTTTTCTAATAATTAAATATATGTAAAAATAAAATCAAGTGCCAGTGAAAAATAAGAGCACTGGGACACTTCAAGTAGATGTTAAAGAGTAATTTTTATAAAGATAGTATAGGAGAGTTACATACTGGGTAGCTTTAACTATACAAAATCATAAAACAACTAGAGGCCGGTGCACAAAAATTTGTGAACTTGGGGGGTGGAGGGGTCCCTCAGCCCGGCCTATGGCCTCTTGCAGTCTGGGACCCCTCGGAGGATGTCCACCTGCTGGCTTAGGCCCGCTCCCCAGGGGACTGGGCCCAAGCTGGCAGTCAGACATCCCTCTGGCAGTCCGGCAGCCCTCGGGGGATGTCCAATTGCCAGCGGGGAGCAGGCCTAAGCTGAAGTCGGACATCCTTAGCGCTGCTGAGGAGGCGCGAGAGGCTTCCACCACCACCACTGTACTGGCAGCCATCAGCCTGGCTTGTGGCTGAGCAGAGCTCCTCCTGTGGAAGCGCACTGATCACCAGGGAGCAGCTCCTGCATTGAGTGTCTGCCCCCTGGTGGTCAGTGTGTATCATAGTGACCAGTCATTCCCAGTTGTTCTGCTGTTAGGGTCAATTTGCATATTACCCTTTTATTATATAGAATAGAGGCGTGGTGCATGGGTGGGGGCCAACTGGTTTGCCCTGAAGGGTGTCCTGGATCAGGGTGGGGTCCCGCTGGGGTGCCTGGCCAGCCTGGGTGAGGGGCTGAGGGCTGTTTTCAGAGTGACCAAGCCCCCTGGCGACTGAAGCTCCCAGACTTTCCTTTTTTTTTTTTTAATTTGCTTCAGCTCCATGGCCATGGCGACTGGAAGCAGGTATCTGGGGTTTATTTACCTCCTATAATTGAAACTTTGTTGCCTTGAGAGGAGGCAGCAGCCACTGGGAAGCTTGGCTTCTTCCATCGCAGGGGCAAGCAAGCCTACTGCTCGCTCCAGCTCCGTGGCCACAGCCTGCTAAAAGCAGGTATCTGGGGTTTATTTACCTTCTATAACTGAAACTTTGATGCTTTTGAGTAGAGCTCAGAGCCGGCGGCAGGCTGGCTTCCTCCATCACTGGAGCAAGCAAGCCTCCTGCTTGCTCCAGTTCCATGGCTGCCAGCCACCATCTTGGTTGGGTTAATTTGCATACAGTTGCTCTGATTGGCTGGTGGGTGTGGCTTAAGGCATAGTGAAAGTATGGTCAATTTGCATGTTTGCCTATTATTAGGTAAGATTATCACTCAAGAAGTTTAACATTAATGCCAATTTCTAATATATAGTCATTATTAAAATTGTCCCAATTGTGTCACTTATGGCTATTTTGTGTTTTGATTTTTTTAATAGACATGAGCATACAATATGTAGTTTCCTGTATGCCAGCATTTCTTTCTTTTAAAAATTTTTTTTATTGATTTCAGAGAGGAAGGGAGAGGGAGAGATAGAAGCATCAATGATGAGAGAGAATCACTGCTTGGCTGCTTCCTGCATGTCCCCCACTGGGGATCAAGCCAGCAACCTGGGCATGTGCCCTTGACCTGAATCCAACCTGGGACCCTTCACTCCACAGGCCGATGCTCTATCCACTGAGGCAAACCAGCTAGGGCTGGCTATTTTGTTTTGATCAAGGATCATGTATTCCATTTAGCTATTATATCACTTTAGTCTCCTCTAAACTAAGCAGCTCCCTATTTTTATTTTGCCTATTATGATAAGTGACATTTTTGAAGAGTCTAGGCCAGTTTCTTTCCAAAATATGGCTCGTTTTGGAAATACACAGGTATTTCCTTATGTTTTGATTTATGTTAAACATTTTTGGCAGGAATGCCTCCTGCCTGCCCCCCTACTGGAGATCAAGCCTGCATTCTGGGCATGTGCACTAACTGGGAATTGAATCGTGACCTCCTGGTTCATAGGTCGACACTTAACCATTTAGCCACACCAGCCGGGCTGATTTTATTTTTAAGATAAATCTGTCTTATATTCTATTCGATTCTCAGTCAGGGCACATGCCCAGGTTTCGGGCTCTATCCCCCGAAGGGGGTTTATAGGAGGCAGATGAGTGATGTTTAGCTCTTATATCAATGTTTCTCTCTATAGATAAAAATTTTTTTTAAAAAAACAGTAATTTATAATTTATATAGTTAATTACATATTTCTTCTAAGTAATCCCATTATCAATATTATAGAGAAATATTTCTATATACTCAAATTACCAAGTTGCTACTTTCATCTGGATTCCAGGAAAGACTCACAATATCAATGCCAACTTACAATCTTTGATTTGAAGATATCCAGCAGACCCGATAAATGAGTGTACTGATTTGGCACTTTTCGAAGATGAACCATTTCAAAATCAGTTCGGACACCAGGACCCTGACATTCTCCCACATACATTCTTCGCCATTTGTGATGAATTTGCGCAAAGAGTGGCACCTGGCTGTAGGACATAATTAAAATAGGAATTTTTAAATGGTTGAAAGTTTTTTAAAAAGTAGAATGAAAATTTTATTCAATAAAAACGATCATATCATATTAGCCTTTCCAAAGCCATGATACATAAACTTGGTTCACAGGTACTAAATAATGCAAATTAAACGAACATTCATGATGATATGCTTTTTACTTTATCATTTGAAGATATAGTTAATCCTTATTACTCACAGATTTTCCTATGTGCAAATTAGCCCACTTGCCAAAATTTATTTATAACCCCAAAATCAATACTTGCAGCATTTTCACAGTCATTTGCAGACATGTGGAGAGCATTAAAAATTCCGAGTCACTTGATGTGCGTGTTCCCAGTTGAGGTTGAACACGGCAATGCTGTCAAGTTTTAAAATTAGATTTTGTAACAAAATTTAAATAAACTAAACATTTGAAAGCCAAGCACAAAAACACCACTCTTCATTTCGAACATTCATTGAGTATTTCAGTAAGTTTCCTTTCACAAATGCTTTCCCTAAAGGTTTTATTGAGTTAGTCTTATATACAATATTCCAAAAGTATAATAATGTACAAGTAGTAATTCCAAGTATAATAAAAAAACTTAACACTTGGTAACCATTTTCCTTCATAAAATATAATTAAAAATAGTTTTTAACTTATTGCCTATTTTTCAAAATGTCCCCTACCAGCCAGTGTTTCCCAAAGCAATAGACACAGAACTCAGAAGAAGATTGCACTTAGATTCACTGAGAACAGCATCGCTGTTTGCTGCAGGGGCGAGCACCACGAACTCTCGCAGTCCATACCTTAAAAAAAAGAAAGAAAAAAAAAAAGAAAATAAAAAGGAATCATTGCTATTAAACAGGGGGAAACTTCAGAATACAAAAATATATTATTTGAAAAACATTAAAAAATAAATCCCTTAAGAAAATTTAACAAGACAGGTTTGAAGTACAGGTGTTTCTTTTTTTTAATGGCAACTGAACCTACAATCAGAATTTCCCTCATTTAGTAAAATACTTCCATCATTCTACTACTACAAACTAGAAGCAATGTGCTGAAATCACAAGGGAAGGAACATTAAATAACAGTTTTGCTTTAAAAGTTTAATTTTAAAGATGAATCATGAAAGCTAGAACTGAAATTTTGCTTTGATTAACTGATAACATTAAGTCCACTATTATAGAAAGAGAAAGTTTGAAAGATTCCTAAGTGGCAGTAAAATAATTACCAGCCATGATACACTTGTGCTACTTCAAAGAGATAAATGGTTAACTTAGGTATCATAATTAAAGGAATTCTTGATTCTTTTACCCAATAACACATTAGGTAGATGACAATGTATCAGAAAATAGTTTATTCTTGCTATGGTACTTTATAATAATGAAAATTTATTTATCTGTCTTTACAAAGGCCTTTAAAAACCACAAATTTGCAGCCAAACTTTACAAACATGAAAGTTCAAGTTGGTGATCTTGCTTATTGAAAATTCCTGTCCTAGACTCTCCTCAATGTATACTTAATAATTTTTAAAAATAAAGATTATGAAAGACATTACTCATTGCCTAATTTATTTTAACTCTAGATATGCAAAAAGTTGTGAATGCTTATCCTATATAATAAGAGACTAATATGCAAATTGTCCCCTCGGGCGGTTGTTCGACCACTCGCTATGATGTTTGCTGATCACCAGGAGGCAGCATGGAACATGGCAGGAGTCAGTGACATGGTGCCGGCAGCGGGCAGCAGTGGAGGCGCTGCCAGCCCCAATGGACCCCTTTTGAGAGCAGGAGCATGGCGGGATGGTGGAGCAGGTGAGTGGGCGGTGCCAGGTCAGGGCGGGTGTGAGCGGGGGCGTGATTGCCCTGCCAATAGCACCTCAGAAGGAGACCAACGGTGGCAGCAGGGGGTGGGGCCATTGCCCAGCTCCCAGGCACTGAGGAAGCCAGGGGTGGGGGGGGGGGGGTGGAGTGGGGGGGTGCCCAGCCCCTATCAATCACCCTGTAGGCAGGATTGAAGAGCAGATGAGAGGGCGGTGCAAAGCCAAGGCGGGTTGCCAGGTGGGGCTGCGAGGCTGGGGGCACAAGCTGGGGCCCAATCTCCGCAGGCCATCCCGAGGGACCCCACCCATGCACAAATTCGTGCACTGGGCCTCTAGTTTTCATGAACATTCTCCTCAAGACATCCTCCAAACGGCAGTAAATAAAATGTTCTTAAAAAGTCCAACCCATAATCTGTTTATTATTCAGTACAAAAATTCATTTTGTCTTCTTACCTCACCTCCACCCTCCTACCTCTGAAATCAAAATTATTTATGTAGAAGCAGCATCAAGTACTGAAAGGAGCCCAGAGCTATGAATTTTAAGCTCTAAAGGTCTTTAAAAAGTTTTCTTTTTTTAATGTCCTTGAAGGACAGAAAACAAGAGAACATTTCCCTATGCCACCTCCAGACTAGAATGAAATCACTGTCAACAGTTTGCTGGTTCTTCTTCCAGAAATATTTTATCTGTCCATGTACCAACCCTATCTTCAAATAATATTATTATATATACATATGTGTGTGTGTATACACACACACACACACACACACACACACACACATATCCTATATAATAAAAGGTTAATGTGCAAATTGTCCCCTAGACCAGGAGTTCGACCGGGAGTTCAACCAGGGGGCAAGGCCAACTGGCCAACCGTCTGTGGCCCCTCCCCAAAGATGGCCCAGCTAATCAGACCCCACCCATGCACTAATTCATGCACCAGACCTCTAGTATGTGTGTGTGTGTGTGTGTGTGTGTGTGTGTGTGTGCTAATAAAAGGGTAATATGCTAATTAGACCAGACATCTTCCAGACATCTTCCGGACAAAGCCACGGTGGCAGGGGCAGAGACCGAGGTGGTTAGGGGTGATCAGGTCAGCAGGGGGGAGCAGTTAGGGGGCAATCAAGCCAGCAGGGGGAGCAGTTAGGGGGTGATCAGGCTGGCAGGGGAAGGCTGTTAGGGGCAGTGAGGCAGGAAGGCAGAGTGGTTAGGGGCGTTCAGGCAGGCAGGCAAGCAAGCAGTTAGGAGCCAGCAGTCCTGGATTGTGAGAGGGATGTCCGACTGCCGGTTTAGGCCTGATCCTAGATCAGGCCTAAACCAGCAGTCGGACATCCCCCAAGGGTCCCGATTGTGAGAGGGTGCAGGCTGTGCTGAGGGGAACCCCCCCCCCCCAACGCACAAATTTCATGCACTAGGCCTTTAATTAATATATATATATATATATACACACACACACACACACACACACACACACACACATATATACACACACACACACACACACACACACACACACACACACATACTAGAGGCCCAATGCACGAAATTCATTCAAGGCGTTCGGCCCTCACAGCCTCGGCTTCGTCCGGAAGATTGTTCAGCTGTCTGGTCTAATTAGCATATTACGCTTTTATTATATTCTTTACCTTATCCCCTACACATCAATACTTTGCTTCCAGTTTTATGCTGTTGCAACAATTTTGTGATTGTCTATTTCTTTTTTCAAAATATATTTTATTGATTTTTTTTTTTTTTTACAGAGAGGCAGGGAGAGGGATAGAGAGTTAGAAACATCGATAAGAGAGAAACATCGATCAGCTGCCTCCTGCACACCCCCTACTGGGTATGTGCCTGCAACCAAAGGTACATGCCCTTGACCAGAACAGAACCTGGGACCCTTCAGTCCACAGGCCAATGCTCGATCCACTGAGCCAAACCGGTTAGGGCTGTGATTATCTATTTCTACAAGTATATCTGTGAGATAAAGTCCTAAAAGTTGCTGGGAAAAAGAACATCTGTATCTTTAACATTGATAGCTATTGTCAAACTATCTCTTCCCTCTCTACACAAACACAGCCTGTGCCAGTGTATGGTGCCATTAACAACAAACAAACCAAACTGAACTGCTTTTTGTTTATCTACAATGAAATTATATCCTCTGGTTTTGTGTCCTCTACGTAAAATGCCACAGATGTGTGCACACGTGCGCGCGCGCGCACACACACACACACACATATATACTATATTGCCATCACTAAATATCCAAACCCTGCTGGATCTTTTTTTGAAGATTTGCCTCAAATACCATCCCATCACACCTGTTAAATATGTTCTCTTCTCTGAATTCTAATGTACTTTTCCTATTATTATTTTTGAAGGATCAATATAAGTTATCTGGTGAGTTTTTCAGTTATACTCTTTAAAAAACTGTATAGACAATTTTATTAAGTGGCATTTTAGAGAGGGATTGAGACTTAGCCAGCAAGTCAAGGAAAAAACTAAATTTTTAAAATGTGGCAATTATTAGCTCCAAGCCTCAGTTATACTTTTCAAATGTGGGGTTTTCATTTGGTTCTTTATTATAGTTCCCAATATTGAGATTTCCTATTTGATTCATTGTTAGTATATTTTTTAATTCTTTGAATACAGTTCCTTTAATTCTTTGAATATATTTATAGTAACTGCTTTGAAACTATTGCTAAATCTAACATCTGGGTCCACTAGAGTCCATTTCTACTTCTTTTTCCCCATTTGCATACGGGCTACACTTTCCTGTGTGACCCTGCATATCTAGTCATCTGTGGTTGAAAATTACATTTAGATAATATGTTATAGCAAACCAGGCCCTATTTAACTTTTCTGAGGGTTGCTTCTTTTTTGTTTGTATTTAGTAAGTTGCCTGGGCTTAAACTATGCAATCTGTCTCCCCAAGATATTCAGTTATTAATGTCTCTATTCAGTCATTTTGTTCTTGTTTTTTTTAACCAGGCTACCCCTTGTTTTAGTGATAAGCCAATAATCTGGGCACAGATGTGTTAAAACATCTAAACCAGTAAGGCTTTCATTTTCTGATGACTGATCTGTGTGTGGGGGATGGATAATTCATTCAAAGTCACAGCTAGCTTTAAAGTTTGGGCTCTGGTGTCTCCTGTGTACATGTGGTTTCCTATCATACAGGAATGCATACAGCGTGAGCCCAGCTCTTCCATGGTTCCCATACAGGACATCCTTGTTAAATCTCTGACGAATCCACCACTTGCCTATGGTCTGCAACCTCGGCATAGCGAAGGTACAGGTTTTTGCCCTCCACCCAGATTCAAGTCTGCCTATCTGACAAAAGAACTGGTGGTTTTCATGGCTAGTCTAGGCTGGAAAACTACAGTTCTCACCAACAGAGATTTGGGCGAAGAGGGACAGCAATAGAACAGCCACAAGTAGAAGGGCCAGAGGCCCCTCTATTCTTACTAGAAGCTCAAGCAGTTTTTTTAAGAGAAAAAACAAACTTCTAAATCTGTTTTCTGCCTTTAAGCAATTTCCAGTGCCCTAAAATAGTTATTTATAAAACTTCTTCCAGTTTCATACATCCGTTTTTTTTTTAAAGAAAATAACTGCCAACACTTCGTGTCACCATTATCAGAAGTTCTCTGAACATTAGCTTTTTAAAGAATAAGAGCCCTAACTGGTTTGGCTCGGTGGATAGAGCATCAGCCTGAGGACTGAAGGGTCCCAGGTTCGATTCTGGTCAAGGGCATGTACCTTGGTTGCGGGCACATCCCCAGTAGGGGGTGTGCAGGAGGCAGCTGGTCAATGTTTCTCTCTCATCAATGTTTCTAACTTGCTATCCCTCTCCCCTCCTCTCTGTAAAAAATCAATGAAATATATTTTTTTTAAAAAAAGAAGAACAGCCCTGACCAGTTTGGCTCAGTGGATAGAGTGTCGGCCTGCGGACTCAAGGGTCCCAGGTCCGATTCTGGTCAAGGGCATGTACCTTGGTTGCGGGCACATACTCAGTAGGGGGTGTGCAGGAGGCAGCTGATTGATGTTTCTCTCTCATCGATGTTTCTAACTCTCTATCCCTCTCCCTTCTTCTATGTAAAAAATCAATAAAATATTAAAAATAAAGGAAGGAAGGAAGGAAGGAAGGAAGGAAGGAAGGAAGGAAGGAAGGAAGGAAGGAAGAACACTTTATAGGTCCTTAGCGCTATTTTAAAATTCCATCTCAAAATTACCAGGTCCTTTCATGTCTCTCTCTCTCTCTCTCTCTCTCTCTCTCTAGGTCCTTTCATATGTCTCTCTCTCTCTGACTAGCAAAAAATACATTAAAATCACAAAAATAAATTTTTAAAAAGCCAACATAATTATTCAATTACAAACACAGTTCATAAGACTGTTTGTGGACTGTTCCTTTTATTGCTGCTGCTGTTTCCTTATAATGACCACAGAGTGACTGAAGCTCTGACAAAGGCAAAACCATAGAGAAAAAACGTGTCCTCAGTTAAACATAGCTGTATTTTCAGTGTATTTTTCCCATCTCAGTAGAGCCTCCCCAGGCATACAGCATTTATGTTCTCACTTTCTGTGTTATTTTCATAGTGCTGCTATAACAAAATATCACAAATTTGGTTGGTTAAAACAATCCAAGTTTATTATCATACAGTTCTATAGCTTATAAGTCTGACACGAAATCTGAACAATAAAGATTTAATAAAAAAAAAAAATTAAATTAAAAAAAAAAAAAAAAAAAAAGTCTGACACGAGTCTCACCAGACTAAAATCTGTGTTCCTTTTGGAGGCTGCAAAGGAGACTCCATCCCTTGCCATTCCCGGCTTCTGGAGGCTACCTCATTCCTCGGCGTGTGGCCTCTTCCACCTTCAAACCCAGCAACAGCAGGCCCAATTCTTCTCCCATCACCTCACTCTGACACTGACTTTCTTCTGCCTGTTCTTCCACTTTTAGGAACTCTTGTTATTACACTGGGCCCACCCAGATAATCCAGGATATATCTTAAGGTCTGTTGATTAGCCCCTAATTCCATCTGCTCCATTGATTCCTTCTTGCCATGTAACCTATATTCACAAGTTTTCGGATGTGGATATTTTTTGGAGGTAGAGAGGTTCATAATCCTATTTTCTTATTAAAACCTCTGCTCAGTAAAGATCTCATGAATTTACATTTGGGTATAAATGTCTGCTATGGCTAACATTTGTGTCATTCACAGTGCTGTAAGTAATAACAATTAACTAAGGGAATAAATCCCTAATGATGGTTTCAGGAATTAGCTGTTAAAAGATTTTTAAAGGACACGTTATATAAGGAGGTAGACAGAAGCATCCAACAAATCACATCATTAAGATCAATTATCTTGCCAAACCATAAAAACTAATCACATCCACATACCTTTTAATGACCAGTTTTATAAAATACCCTTAAAATAGTTAAACAGGTTTAGGAGCTAATCTGACAGGTGCTTGATATAGAAGCTGAAACTACAAGATATCAAAATTAGATGTAGATCAATAAACTAGAATAAAATTAAACATTTGACACAAATGTCAAATTTCTATTTTTGTTTTTTCCTCCAATATATTTTTATTAATTTCAGAGAGGAAAGGAGAGGGAGAGAGAGATAGAAACATCAATGATGAGAGAGAATCATTGATTGGCTGACTCCTGCATGTCCCACACTAGAGATCAAGCTCGAAACCCGGGCATGTGCCCTGACCAGGAATCAAACTGTGACCTCCTGGTTCATATGTCAACACTCAACCACTGAGAAACACCAGCTAGGCTCAAATTCTATTTTCTGAAGTTTGATCTGAAAATATAGTTAACCAGATATAAATTTTCTCATTCTGACAGGGTCAACTTATACTGATTGTATATAAATGATATGAATATTTTGCAAAATAGTTTTCAAATCTTCAACATCATTGTTTTAGTATTAAGTTTAATTTTTTTGAAGGAAATATTTATAGGCAAAAACTTCTTGATATACTTATTCTTCAGTTGCTAAAAAAGCATGTTGAGTAATTTATAATCTTTCAAATTGCAAAGATTTTAGTATTTAACAATTATAATTAAAAATTCTCTATAGCCCTAGCCAGTTTGGCTCACTGGATAGAGCGTCGGCCTGGGGACTAAAGGGTCCCAGGTTCGATTCGGTCAAGGGCATTTACCTTGGTTGTAGGCACATCCCCAGTAGGGGGTGTGCAGGAGGTAGCTGATTGATGCTTCTCTCTCATCAGTGTTTCTAACTCTCTATCCCTCTCCCTTCCTCTCTGTAAAAAATCAATAAAATATATTTTTAAAAAAATAAAAATTCTATATAAAATAGAAGCATTAAAATATCATGAAATCTTCCTAAGATTCTCTGTTCACATTAGGCCCAAATTACACAGATCCCTTCTCATCTTTTGCCATTCTCAACCCTCTTTCCAGACTTAATCTGTCTGAAAAGGCGGCACCTCCTGTGAGCCTGCATCAAGCCCGAGCTGCCTGTCTGAAGGCATCTGTGAACAGTGTTGCCATTTGTTCTCTTTGCTGTCCCCTTACTAATAATTCCAAAGCTCACTGATACAGGGATTATATGTTATTCGTGGTATCCCAGTATCTGGCTTATAGTAAATGTCTAAAAATAATGTTTGCCTAATAAAAGAAAACATATACTTTTAATATGCCTAATTATCAAATAATTCTCAAAAGTTTGGTTGTTGGCCTTCCAATCTTTAAAAGATCAAATTTTAAAAAGGGAAGCAATATGGCAGACTGACATGACACAGGCCCCCTCCTTGAAACACACCAAACTGCCTGATTAAATATGACAATGCTTTAAAAATACATAGCTAGAAGTGAAGGAATAAAGAGGAGATTACTGGGGGACAGACACAAAGAGGAAACTGAAAGCCAGAAGCAAGCACTCAGGTGACTCTGAGAAAACCCAGGGTTTGGAGATATGGGTCCTCAGGGCTAGGAACTGGGGATTTGGATGTTACATGACAAGCTTTTTAGATGCTAAAAGCCTATCAGTATGACTCACAGATGTGTCTACAAAACTGACGCTTTGATAGACTGAATTTTTAAAATATGCAATACCTAACTATTTAGTTGGGGGCACTGACTTCTTTTCCCTCAGACTGTCAAATTAAAAATAAAAAATGATAATAGCCAACACAACAATAGCTGTCTGGTGTGAATGAATCAAAATTATACCTATTTTTTGTTAGATTAGCAAAAATTCTGTTTTGGTGTGCTGCGGAGTTTTAAAGATTAGTTTATGTGTGCCATGAGATAAAAAGGTTGAAAATTGCTGGACTCAAGAGACTGAGAATGATAGAAGAAAAGTCTATTTATGTCTGAGAATATCATATATTTTAGCCTAGCAGCAATAATGTGAACTATATAACTCTGAGACTGATAAAGTATACTACCCCAGGAAGGTGGTCTGTGGCATGTATTCAGACTACGGTATGTCCAAGAATACCCCAATAATAAATATAAGTAAGGCGAGGCCTGGAAACTATGCTTCCAGAAGCATAATATCACTTGGATATTACATCCACAACTACGCCCGTGCTTAGGAGGAAATAGTAAACTGTATGTTTTCAATGATGTTACTCATCTCTCTACAAAGTAACCTGAACATGCCAGCTTCCTTCTGCTTTATAGTTTACTGAAGAATTGTCTGTGCAAGGACTTTCCATCAATCCAAATCAGTACAGAGGTTGTTACATTTTGAGTGGTCCCTCAGGGATATGGGTGTAGATTAGACAAAGAACTAGAACTGAGAGTTTTCTTAAAGCCTGGATCCTAGAAGGGACCAACACCTCAATAAAATGAGAACTCCAAAGCCAAATGGTTTCAGTGATAAATTCTACCAAACATTTAAAGATAACGTCAATTTGACACACTGGCTTCCAGAAATTAGATAGAATAGAATACTTTCCAACTCACATTATAAAGCCAGCAATACTGATACCAAAACCAAACTATAAGGAAACCACAGACAAATATTCATCGTGAACACAGGCAGTCCTCAATAAAAATACAGCATATTAAATCCAGCAAAAAATAAACACACACACACACATTATACAAAAGGTGGGGTTTATAGTGGGAATACAAAGCTACCATATCTAAAGAAGAGCCCTGGCCAGGTGGCTTGGTTGGTTGGAGCATCGTCCCATACACCAAAAGGTTTCGGGTTCGATTCCCAGCAGGGCTCAAATGGGAAGCAACCAACTGATCCCTCTCTCTCTCTCCCTCCCCCCCCCCACTCACCCTCCCTCCCTCCAAAATCAATAAACATATCCTCAGCTGAGGATAAAAAAACAATCTAAACAAGGAACAAATGATCATATCAATTTAAGCAGAAAAAACATTTGACAAAATTCAACATCCATTCATAAGAATTCTCAGCAAATTAGGAATAGAAGGAAATTCTCTCAACCTGATAAAGAGCATCTATGAAGAAAACCTCTATGAAAAGCTTACAGCTAACATCGTACTTAATGGTAAAAAACAAAATTTTCCCTTTGAAATCAGAACACGGCAAAGACATCCATCCTCACCACTCGTATTCAATATTTTACTGAAAGTCCTAGCCAGCTTAAAAAGGCAAGGGGGGGAAAAAAAGACATAGAGAGGAAAAACCAAGACGGCGGCATAGGTAAACAACGGAGTTAGCTGCCTCGAACAACCACTTCAAAAATACAACTAAAAGATGGAAGGGACATCGCCCAGAACCACAGGAAGACTGGCTGAGGGGAAATTCTTCAACTAGAAGGAAAGAGAACAGCATACAAGACTCAGAAAGGCGCAGTGCGGAAAATACAAAGGTGCAGAGGTATGCGCGGAGCGGGCTGGTAGCTGAGGGCGCGGTTGTCGTTTTCAACCAGGAGGGAGTCTCAGATTCTGAGCTCCAGTTCTGGGTGAGTCTCTAGGGACCCAGACTCAAACGGGAGAAGCGGGACTGGCTAGCATCGGTCGGAACGTGAGGGCACCTTTCTGTCCGAGGTTTGCAGTGGTTGCTGGGACTCTGAGAGGCAGAGCCTCTGGGGACAGGACTGAGAGCAGCCATAACTGCTCCCTCCACCCGCTCTGTTGATCCCGTGCGACCCGCCCCGCCCCGCCCAAGCCCTGCACAGAGCCATTTGCCAGATAGCCTCAGGCAAAGGCTAGATTAGCAACTCCCAAGAGGACAGAAGTTTTCCCACTGCAGACACAGCTGATTCTCACAGCCAGTTGGCCTGAAGGTCAAATCCCCCTAGTATTAACTACAACAATCAAGGCTTAACTACAACAAGACTGCACACAAAGACCACTAGGGGGTGCACCAAGAAAGCATAAAAAATGCGGAGACAAATAACAGGACAAAACTGTCAATGGAGGATATTGAGTTCAGAACCACACTTCTAAGGTCTCTCAAGAACTGTCTAGAAGCCACCGATAAAGTTGTTGAGATCTACAAGAAATCTAATGAGACCCTCGATGTTATGATAAAGAACCAACTAGAAATTAAGCATACACCGACTGAAATAAAGAATACTATACAGACTCCCAACAGCAGACCAGAGGAGCGCAAGAATCAAGTCAAAGAATTGAAATGTGAAGAAGCAAAAAACACCCAACCGGAAAAGCAAAATGAAAAAAGAATCCGAAAATATGAAGACAGTGTAAGGAGCCTCTGGGACAACTTCAAGCGTACCAACATCCAAATTATAGGGCCGCCAGAAGAAGAGAGAGAGCAAGATATTGAAAACCTATTTGAAGAAATAATGACAGAAAACTTCCCCCACCTGGTGAAAGAAATAGACTTACAAGTCCAGGAAGCGCAGAGAACCCCAAACAAAAGGAATCCAAAGAGGACCACACCAAGACACATCATAATTAAAATGCCAAGAGCAAAAGACAAAGAGAGAATCTTAAAAGCAGCAAGAGAAAGAAACTCAGTTACCTACAAGGGAATACCCATACGACTGTCAGCTGATTTCTCAACAGAAACTTTGCAGGCCAGAAGGGAGTGGCAAGAAATATTCAAAGTGATGAATACCAAGAACCTACAACCAAGATTACTTTATTCAGCAAAGCTATCATTCAGAATTGAAGGTCAGATAAAGAGCTTCACAGATAAGGAAAAGCTAAAGGAGTTCATCACCACCAAACCAGTATTATATGAAATGCTGAAAGGTATCCTTTAAGAAGAGGAAGAGGAAGAAAAAGGTAAAGATACAAATTATGAACAATAAATATGCATCTATCAACAAGTGAATCTAAGAATCAAGTGAATAAATAATCTGATGAAGAGAATGAACTGGTGATTATAATAGAATCAGGGACATAGAAAGGGAATGGACTGACTATTCTTGGGGGGGAAAGGGGTGTGGGAGATGCGGGAAGAGACTGGACAAAAATCGTGCACCTATGGATGAGGACAGTGGGTGGGGAGTGAGGGCGGAGGGCGGGGTGGGAACTGGGAGGAGGGGAGTTATGGGGGGGAAAAGAGGAACAAATGTAATAATCTGAACAATAAAGATTTAATAAAAAAAAAAGATTTAATAAAAAGAAAAAAGACATAGACTATTAA